AGCTGGGGAATGAGGCACAGATAAAAATACCTGGGGGAGGGGGTAGTTACAGGCCAAGGAAACTAAGGCCAGAGGCCACGAGCCATAAATTCTCTTAGCGTGTTTTGAGGAACAGCAAAGAAGGCTGTGATTGCCGTGGAGTGGAGGAGGGGGAGGGGGACAGGTGACGAGGTCAGAAACCAGTGCACAGGTGACAAAGAGCTCTCGGAAGTGGCGTGAGGAATGATGCTCAGACCAATTGACACACACCCCCACCCCCACCCCCCACTGACCAGGGCCTGGAGTTGACATTTACTGAGGCGCAGAGAGAGATGAAGGCTTCTGGGCGGGATGGAGAGCAGCCAGGAATCAGATTTTGGGTGTTAAGCTTGAGCTACTTAGTGAGCATCAAAACAGAGGTACAAGAAGTGACAGCTGGATATGTGGATTTGATGTTCAGGAGAGAGGTGTAATCTGGAGAAATACATGTGAGAGCCATCAGATCACCTAGTAAGGGGTTGACAGAGAAGAGTTGGAGGACGAAGCCAAGGGCCTTCCGAATGTTTCTGGAGAGGAGGGGCCGGGAGTTAGGAGAGCCAACAGAGGGTGGTAGTTCGGAGGCCAAGGGAAGAGTGTCTCGAAGGTGTGATTCTCTCTGCGGCAAAGGGGGCTGGTAGGTTAAAGGAGGTTGAAGACGGGAGTTGACTGTTGGACTTAACAACATGAAGATGGTCTTGACAGGAGCTATTTCGGTGAAGTGGGGGAGAAGTGGGAGCGGGTTAAAAAAAAAAAAAACAGCAGAGCCTTGGCTGTTGTAGCTCAGTGGATTGAGTGCGGGCCTGCGAACCGGACTATCGGCGGTTCAATTCCCAGTCAGGGCACATACCTGGGTTGCAGGCCAGTTCCCTGCAGGCCAGTTCCCAGCAGGGGATGGGAAAAAACGGCAGAGAAGTGGAGAGAGCAAATGTTGACAGACTTTGCGACTCTTGCTGTAGCGACGGGTTGGCCAGAGAGGGCGTGTTGCTGTTTCTCAGGTGGGAGAAGTAATGCCTGTTGCGTGCTGGTGAGAGTGATTCCGCAGGGAGGGGATGATGGCGGCGACTCAGGAGACTTGACAGGAACGGCAGCTTGAGGTATGTCATTTAGACAAATACACGAGCTACCTGTTTAAAGAATAAAAATGTCAGATACAGCTCCAATCGAGGTAACGGAAGAGGAAAAGCAAGAGGGCTGTATAATCTGTAGTTAGCCTCTTACTAATAAATGTGAAATTGTGTCGGTCACTTTCTCCCATCATTTTTTTAAAAATTAAGGTGTAATTTCTATGTATCTGGTAGAGTTACATTTGACAATCACATACCCTTCCACAATCTAGGTCAGGTTAGAACTTTTATTTGGGGCCGTAGGTTAGCTTGTCCTGTGCAGCTGGACCCCGTGCAGGCGGGATGTGCCACTGCTTCTGCTTCGACTTACTTACGAACCCATAAGATAGGCCTCTTCTATTCCTACAGTGAGTTTACTGATTTGGTTCTTCTAGGAGGATGTGATACAGGCATTAGTTAAGAAGGTTTTCCCGAAAACTAATTCTGGCAAAAAACAAAAATATTTCCCCCCGAAAATTAGTGCTGTGAAAAAATAATTTTACAATGGCATCATGTAGATAATCCACAGCTATTAGAATTTTGTTTTTCATTTTAATTGCACATATTGAACTGGAACTGGAAGGCTTCTGGGTGAAAGAATTTTTTGGTGTCTAGACAATTCTAATGGGAAGCAGAAAGATTTCATTTACTCAAGAAATTAAAATAAGATTTGAGCCAAAATGTTGTGCCTGCACCAAGATTTGGCATAAAGTTTTACCTTTTTCTTCCTAGTCACTTCCATAGCTGGGTGAGTGATCTCTTTCAGTTAATTCAGGGAATTTCAAGAACCAAGATCCAGGCAGATGTTTAAAGGTTTGTTTTTAATAAATGCATCAAGTGCCAGGAATTGGCTTCTGGACAGTATTGGACCCCTGTTGCCAAGAAGGTAGGAATTAAGGCCACGTACTTAAGAAAAGTTGTCCAGACTTGGTTTGATTTACTTTCATAACCTGGCTGGAATTTCGTGAGACTGGATGTTTGTAACCTATTTAAATATGTCCTTTTGAGTCAAAACCTTACATTTCTGCTGCTAGTTTATTCCATGAAAATAAACTGTCTAAAGACATATGGCTTTTATTTCTGAATATTACAATTATTGAAACCCCAATGGAGTCTCTTTAATTGCTTCTAAAACAGATTTTACTTTTACTAATTAAAAAAATACAGATACCTCATTTATAGATCATCTTGTTTCAGCAACTGTAGCTGATTGTCTCACTTTCCTTCTTTTTTCTTTAGAATGGCAGTAGCTTTTTAAATTATAAAACAAGTGCATGCATGTTTACAGAATGTTTTTTCAATAATAAAAAAGTATTAAAACAAAGTAAAACATTCCTCTAGCACACTCACCAGAGCTAACCTCTATTAAATTTTTTGCTATTTATCTTGCCAGACTTTTCACACATGTGTAAACTTGTATGTATATGTAGTTTTTAAGATAAATGGAATCATACTAATTATATTCTCCCTTTTTTACAGATTTTATTTGTTTAGTTTTAGAGAGAAGGAAAGAGGGAGAGGAATATTGATCGGTTGACTCTCATTCGTCCCCCCCACACACACACATACACACAGTGGGGACCTGGCCCACAACCCAGGCATGTGCTCTGACTGGGAATCGAACTGGTGACCCTTCCGATCACAGGCTGGTGCTCAATCCACCGAGTCACACCTGCCAGGGGTTATATACTCTTCTAATAAGAACATTTTTTTCATGGCAGTACATATGTGCATTTTGGGGGGGACTGTGTAATATTCCATTATATACATGTACCAAAAAATGTTTAAACATTTAAATTATTTCCAGGTTTTTGCTTCTATCCACAGTGCTGCAAACCTTGGTCGTGCGTGATTGTTCTATCTGCTTAGTGTATTAGCGTGCACATCCAGCCGAAGGCACGTCCATGGTTAATTGTGGTGTGGTGGAGGCCAGGGATCAGCTTCCTACCTGGGCAGTGGTGGACAGCTGAAAGGAAGGGTATTTGTTGAGGTAGAAAGAGGCTTTAAAATGTGTATAATTGTTCTTAAAGCACTTACTTAAAATTGTGTACTCTGACACACAGTTCCGTCACTCTTACTGCGCCGTTAGACCACCCACCCTCCAGAGAGGCTCTCCATTACGCCTGCGCCGACCTGAGCGTTTCAGCCCCTTGAGTGCAGGGGACAGTGCGCCTGCATTGAGTATCCGCGGTGCTCAGCGTTAGTATTTGACATACACATAACGTCGTGGGTGCCTAGTAAATCCTTTTTAAATGTACCAATTTTGCTACATCTTTTAGCATTTTTCCCTGACTGGTGTGGCTCAGGGGATTGAGTGCCGGCCTGTGAACCAAAGTGTCGCTGGTTCCATTCCAGTCAGGGCACCTGCCTGGGTTGTGGGCCAGGTTCCCAGTGGGAGGGCCCCCAGAGACGACCGCACATCGATGTTTCTCTCTTTCTCCCTCCCTTCCCCCTCTCTAAAAATAAATAAATAAAATCTGTTTAAAAAAAGTTAAGCACTTCTTTCATATGATCATTGGACATTTATATTTCTTCATGTAATCAGCTTATTTTTACACCGAGGTGTCATATATTGTTACTGATTTATAAGTGGGAAGTTAAGTAAATGAAAGTTTTAAAAATAGTAATCAAATGACGTATAATGTGTTGTGGATTTATTTACCAACTCCAAGATTTGTCTTTTAAATTATTGGGTCTTTTGCTTAGAAAATACCAGCACTGGTTTTTAGGTGGTCAGATCTGCCCATCTGCTTTCACTTTAAAGTTTCTAAATTCTGTAGCATGCTTGGAAGGGCCTTCCTCATCCCTGCATTATTTTTAAAAATGGTTTCATTTCTGCTAATACATTTAGGTTTTACTTTTCATACTTAAATATTGTATCTTTCTACAATGTATTTTTGTGCATGGTGAGAATTATTGATCTGCTTCTTAGCCAGTATCACATCATCCCAGCCACTGTAGCTATGCAGTGGTTCAGAAATCTGGTAAGCTGAAGCTCCCCTTTTCTCTGTTATTCCTCTTATTTTTCTCCCCCAATTTCCTGGCTGTTCTCTGCCTTTACGCTTCCACATAGAATCAATTCAACAAATTTATTAGGTTCCTTCTAAATTCTCTTGGATTAACTATACTATCCTGACAGGTCTGGCTATAATAATATTTAATAATAACATTCCAATGTTTAATTTTTATTTATTATTGTTCCAATTTTTTATATTCTTAATTTTTTTAGTGTTAGGTTTAAAATTAGAGTCAACCTGCTTTCGAACCTTAATTATCTTTTTTTTTGTTTGCTTTATGGTTTTTTGCAAGTCTTTGGCTTTCGCTTCTACCACAGTGTGTCAGAGATGGTCTCATCTTAATCATTCAGCAGGATTAAGGTCATTTTTCAAATCCATCTGAGAGCCAGACTTCCAGGGCCGCGCTCCTCCTCACACGGATCTGTGTTGTGTTCTCCTTCCTGGGGCCGAGTCCATGGCTCCTGTCTGTCCAGCACAGAGCTGTTTCTCCCCGAGAATCATCGCTTGTTATCCTCCAGTTTGGTAGATTCTTACACTAGTGGATAACCATCGTTAGGGAGTTTTGATAATAACCTTACAGTTTAACAGTTAATAAGGTAGGTTATTTATAAAAATCAGTTGCACAGTTACAGAGTAAGGAAACTTTATTTCCTAATACTGGTTGTTCAGTCATGTTTTAAAAACAATAAACAAAAATAAGGACCTAGTATTTAAATTGACTTCACACTTAGTGTAAGTCATGGTACCTGTTAAAAATTAAAAAAGCTATATTGTAGGCTGCATTACAGGAAGTCTGGCGTCCAGATTAGGAAAGGTCTATGCTAATCAGTTTTTATGGTTTCATGCACCAATTATTACCCAGGATCCAACCAGGTGCTGGGATGCAAAGCTGAGACACGGACCACCTACGGCAGAACTGCAAGTGAGTGATAATAGGCTTTATGAGAAGCTGGAAGAAGGGTGTCTGGGACCTAGACCACAGAGGCTGGGCACAGCTTTCGGGGAGGAGGCAACCCACAGAGCACAGGCAGCAGAGCTGGAGCCGAGGCCCTCACCAGCAGTGAGACCTAGTGCCAGTCTTTAGCCTCGCTCCACCTCAGTGTCTCCACGTGGACATTGAGGTCAGCGGTCATAGTTTCACACTGTTGTCCTGAGCCTTACTGAGATGATTCTAGAGCAGACGGTGGCACGTGGTAGTAACTCAGAAGGTGGTATGAAGTGTGAGGAGGGGGGAGTTGCCTCAGCAGAAGGAAAGGCGCACACCAAAGCCAGGGCATATTGAACCGGGGTCTTGCCGAAACTGCAGTATTTTGACTGGCGTGTGGGGTGCGTGTGGGGGAGCACAGCCGGAGGTGAAGCCGGGAAGCGAGCAGGGGCGCAATCTCCAGGCAGGAGCTTTGTGTCACATCCAGGAGTCTGAAAGGCATTTAGGAAGTGTCCTGGGGTCCTTGAAGGCCTTAAGCGTAAGGGGAGTGGCCAGAGGAGTCTCTCCAGTTGAAAGACTGGTTTGTTATCATGTGTGGAGGGGCTAGGAAAGCCATTTGAAGTAGGATATCCAGTTAGGGCAGTGGTGCCTAGCCCTGGCTCTGCGTTGGAAGCATCTGGAGAACTTTTTAACAGGCGGGTGCCCAAGTGGACTGCACCAATTCTATGACCAGCCCTGAGGGTAAGACCCAGACGATTTTAAAACGTGGGTATTGAGGGAAAACAACATACGACAGACAAATGGACAGAGGGAAACTGAAGGGGAGGAGCCACGGCGTTGTTGAAAACTCAGGAGACAGAGTACGGAACCCATGGCTGAGATCGAGGAGGAGTCAGGAGATGTAGAGCAGGCATGAAGGAAGGCATTTATGTGAGAATTTCCACTCAGAAATAAGTACAGATACGCGGGTGCATATCCATAAGTCCACAGGTTGAGGCAGAAGAGCTGTAACTGGGCCCAGTGGTCAGGTACCCTGACTGCAGGAGATGCCGGAGTCTGCTGGGAAATAGGAGGTGGGAGTGGAGCGGGCTCTGGGAGCTCTGGACCCGGCGTGTCAGCGGGCGGAGGCCAGAAGGACGTGTTTCTGGAGTCCTGCTCTTAAACCCCGGGTTCCCCCCAGAGTGTCAGCGTTGGTCCTTCACATGCTTCCTGGGTGATCTCTCCTTTGTTGTATCAGATTACGGTTACCTTCCTGGAGAAACATCCACAAACCAAAGATTGTCTGGAGCAGTTAATGTGGTGGTTCCAGAGATTACTGGCTGACTTATTTTTTTTTTGGGGGGGGTGGTGCTTTGATAGCTTAATTTAAAGTTTAAAGTGTCTAAATCACTTGAACACACTGTACAGGTGCCACAATTTCCAACATTATTAACCCAGGCAGAGTCCTATTTTTTTCTCGGTTGTAATAAAGCCTCAAAAAACTGCCAACTCGGTATTTTGAAAACATGTTAACTTTCAGTATAAAATATTTTGTATTTATACTATAAAGAAATTATGACACATTTTCCTTCATGCATTTTTTGTTCTATGATGTCTAATAAAGGCCTAACTGGATTGATTTCTCAACTCTGATGTAAACTGTGCTTTGCATTATGTATGTACTCTCTAAATATTTTTTCTCTACAAAAACCAGCTACATATCCAGTAGTTAGTTAATTATCAGGTAGACTAAACTATTTTATTTTACAGATTTCCCATTCAGCTGAACTAATTGTATTCACTGCAACAAAGCAGTCATGGGTATGGCTTTTCAGTAAGGCTTCTTGTTTATGATTTACTTGTAAGACAATTACAAATCACTTAAACCAAACTAGGATCAGGACCCTGGGGTTAGAGGTGGCCTTGATATCGCAGAACATTAACCCAGCGCTTTGATGCCATTTCAGGTAACATTTCATTTGTCGCATATCCAGTCTCCAGCACCAACTCACCAACCAAGATTTTACCGAAAACCTTAGGACCAATAAATGTGAATGTTGGACCCCAAATGGTAAGAAAATCACCCATCAATCTTAGAATTTGAAACCTTGCTTAGGTAAGACTAATATAAAGGATAATTGCACTGAAGGTAGTTGATCAGATTTCTAGTTAATTTCTTAATCAGTTTTTTAAGAAGTTTTGTTTTTATCTGAATGTAACTGATTAAATCCTGAGACAAAGAAGGCGTGTGCTCTTCTGTGTTTGATTTTCACGCATCTGACTACGGATTCTGGGTGTGTAGTAAGGCTTTTGCTCTGTCCGCAAGGCTTTTCTTGTTTGGTGAAAATTGATTTGAAATCTGTTGTGTTTTATAAACATAAATCTTCCCTTTTTTTCAAAAAGATTTTAAATCTTTCCCTTTTTTTGACCTAGAATCTCACATAAATTGAATATGACCCTTAGTTAATCTACATCTGGAGCTATTAGTCTGATATCTTTGATTTAAGGACATTTGGGGAGAAACAGCAATTCATTTAAATGCCAATTTATTTAAATCTTTAACAGTAAAAATAATGGATGAAAATGTGAAATTATTTAACTGTTTCTCTGACAGCATTTCATTAATTTTGTTAGAGCTTGAAGTGCATAGCACTTTAGAAAGCCTTATTTATCAGCACAGTTGCGTGTAACTACTCTAAAAACTGTGCCTAATTTCAATGGCTTCACCACCATCAGCAAACCTTTGTAAGCACTCGAACTGCAGCTCTTCGTGGTCAGTGCTTGCCCGTACTCATCATCGAAAGAGCAGTAAGGATAAAATTTGCCTGTAAGGTACAGTACTGAGGACTCTGTTCAACACAAAACTATTTACACAAAAAACACCTTTTAACCATACCTAATGGCTCCAGAAAGTCTCAGATTTTGAGACATTCCAGGCATGACATTTTTCCTGATTGCTTGAGGACTGTTAGTTATCTACAGAATCCAAGCCAAAGGCCTTGCACAATTTACTATAACTATGTGAAGAATGTAACCTCACTCCAAACCCTACAGAAACTTAAGCTTAGGTAAGTGTTTCCACTTCAAGGTGGTTCAGGGTGTATTTTCAAACTTTTGCTAGCATTGTGCTGCTCATCGGCCACTGCGGTAGGAACAAGTGAGATAGGGCACCTGACTTTAAAGTCTGTTTTTTGAAATGTGATTTCTATAAATCCCAAAAATAAAAAAACATACTCGAACTATTACAAGTTTGGCCCTTATAGTACTCCTCTGTTTTGAAATACTGTTTTCTGTTGTGGTATTTTAGTGATGCTCTGAGGTTTAAATTTCTCTTTTGGAAACATGTAATTTCTCTCCCCATTTTCCATTTGAACTGATGTACATGGAAGCCTTCACACACTTCAGTTCTGACGATGATGAGCAATTAGGTTGAATACTTACCCGATCACTGCTGCCCTCAGAATCAGCAAAAAAAAAAAAAAAGGTCATACAGAACAGAGACCTGGGGCTCTCCCTTCAACCAGTCTGGCCCGAGGCCTTGATGTGTCTCCCGAATTCTCAGGTGGTTTTCCAGTTCTTAGTCTTGGGCCAGAATCAGAGTTTCTGTTTTTTCTCCTAGTTGGTGCAGAACTCCAATCATAGCCCTTTCTTTCTTCTCCTCTTGCTTGCCTCTTTTGAACATTGTCCCTTTGCCTTCAATTTCTCATAATTAAAAAAAAAAATTTTGTTGCCCTGGCTGGTGTGGCTCAGTGGATTGAGCACGGGCCTGCGAACCACACAATCGCAGTTTGATTCCCAGTCAGTGCACATGCCTGGGTTGCAGGCCAGTTCCCAGTGAGGGACTCATGAGAGGCAACCATATGTTGATACTTCTCTCCTTCTTTCCTTCCCTTCTTCTCTAAATATAAATAAATAAAATCTTTAAAAAATTTGTTTAGTTAGAAATTCTTGAATAAAACCTCCCTCGTTTCCTTTTATAGCAAATTTAAATTTCGTGTCTCTTTGGAAGCCAAATCTTAATAGTAAATAGAAATTTCAAAAGTAACTTGAAAGAGAGAAAAACTTGGTTTTCGTGTTTATAGAAACTAGCAGTAACTGTTTTAGTTTAAGAAAATTGCCCTTTTCTTAAAGGTATCTGTATCTGTATGTGAGTGTATGTGTTTGTGAGTATATACATGAGTGTGTATATATATTGTATATGTATTGGAAATACTATTATGAGCATATATACATGAGTGTGTATATATATACACAAATATCTGTATATATATATATACACACATACACAGATATATGTGTAAAACTCATGTATGTTCTTATGATTATTTTAATATGGTTGAAACTGCATTTCTGATATTGAAAACTACAATTTTACGAAACCCTTTAATGTAACACTTTATAACTGTCTAGATCTTTTCCTTTCGGAATGCAGATGCCGCCTTGACTTTCTTCCTGTAGATGGCAGTGGTGCGTAAGACACACTGACTGAGGGCAGAAAATCTCTAGAACGAGGTTCAGTCGATGGCATGATTTTCATTGCCCAACTGTAACCTATTGTCTGAGAAACCACAATTACATTTACATTAAGGTTGTCTTTGTTTTGGGTTTTTTGGGGGGCGGTGGTGAACTTTAATATTCATTTTCCTTGATCAACTGAATATTAGAAGTAGTTACCTTGAATTATCACTCATTTTAATTTGGGATTTCACAATTAAATTTTATAAGCATGCCTGACTCACCACCTACAGAGGCGTCCTATATTCAGTGCTTGATCAGTTCTGTTGACTTTCCTTCAGTTTGTTTCTTAAGACTCACTGTCTGTCCTAGTTTAAAAACTCATTGCATCTCACATGAGCTTCCAACCTGTCTTTCCAATTCAAGTCTATCATCTCCAATGTGCTCATTCAGAAAATGTTTATTAAGAACTTGCTATGGCCCTGGCTGGTGTGACTCCGTGGATTGAGTGCCAACCGTAAACCAAAGGGTGGCCAGTTCAATTCCCAGTCAGGGCACATGCCTGGGTTGTGGGCCAGGTCCCCAGTAGGGGGCACATGAGAAGCAACCACGCATTGATGTTTCTCTCCTTTTCTTCCTCCCCTCTGCGCCTCTTAAAAATAGGTAAATAAAATTTTAAAACATAAGATGAAAATTAAAAAAATCAAAATATATGTCCATGTTGATGCCTTTCTCTCTTAATTGGAACACAAACAAAACCATACTATTATGAAAATTTTCCGAAGTATACAAAACAGAGCCCTCTGCCCAGCAACCCCTTCAACCATTTCAGCCATTATCCACATGAGGACAGTCTTGTTTCATTAGTACACCCATTCCCTGGACCATGCATGCCCTATTTTTTCTGTCTTTTTAAAAATATTTTATTTATTTATTTTTTGAGAGAGGGGAAGGGAAGGAGAAAGAGTGGGAGAGAAATATCAATGTATGGTTGCCTCTCACGCGTCCCCTGCTGGGAACTGGCCTGCAACCTGGGCATGTGCCCTGACTGGGAATCGAACCGCAATACTCTGGTTCGCAGGCCCGCACTCAATCCACTGAGCTATGCCAGCCAGGGCTGTTTTTTCTTTTTTTAATGAAAATACTTTTGAAGATTTTCTTAGAACATCAAATTGTTTTGTATTCATTATTATAAACGTTTGGGGGCGTGTTCTTCTTACTGATGAAAATTAGGAGACCTGGAAAGCAGTTTGGTAAGACATACCAAGGAACTTTTTGAAGTTTATGTCCTCAGCTCCATTCACCCCTTTCCTGGTGTCTTACCTTGGAAAATAGAAAGTAAGGCCAAGATCATTGTACAAAAATATTTATCACAGCACTTTGTATAATATTGAATAATTGGAATATCCATACATATCTAATAGGGAATAGTAAATTTACACAATGGAACGTAATATGTCTTTGAAGAAAATTTCATAACAGGAGGAAATAAATGCTCTTGAAAAAAGATAAAATTGCATCTGTATAATAATTCAAAATGTATCCTGTCTTTGCATGTATTTTGGACTGTGAAGATCTGATTACCCCAGTTCTAGTAAATCAAGCTTGACTGGAATTAGGTTCTGTAATTTCAAAGGAAGCTTTTCATTTTTCTGATTTTTAAAGCATTGTCAGTTGCCAGCCTAGTCCTTCCAGATTGCTCTTCACTTGCTGAAACCTGCGCCGAGGCCTCATGTTGGTGCTCAGGCACTGAGCTTTGATTCATACAAAGGGATCAGAGCTATTGCTCATGATTTAGATGATTGATATTAAGTGCATTTTCCTCCTGGTATGTGGGTTAGCAGTCAACATTATTTTGTGCCTGCAGGCTTTCCTTAATAACTAACAGTGTTATTTTCTTTGTCCAACGTACAGATTATAAGCACACCCCAGAGACTAGCCAGTTCCGGAAGTGTTCTGATCGGGAGCCCGTACACCCCTGCACCGGCGATGGTCACGCAGACACACATAGCAGAAGCCACGGGCTGGGTCCCGAGGTGAGAGTGCCGGTACAAGTTACCATTCGTAAAACTTTTTTTAAAAAAGCTCTAACGTTTTTCCTCACCACCATGTCTTCTCCTCTTCTCATTTTATATTAGTCTAGTTTTTAAAGACCAATGTGTTTCCTTTAAAATCACCTGTTTTATTTCACTTCATATCTTAGATATAAACCATTTATGGAGCAACCATTTTACAAGAGAGAAAAAGAGTATAATAACTTGTGCCTGAATCTTCTGACTTTTTTCAGCCCTGAAAGAGAACTTACTTAGCTGCTTTGAAGACATCAAAACTTTATTTCATATTGTTTTAACAAACATAAGAAAAGATACATTAAGTGTTGGCTATATTCAGAATTTCTTCTATGAATTACTTCTTTAAAAACTGGAAAATTAACTAAAGAAAAGAGGCCAAATATATGTAACTTCCACTGAGTTTCCCCTCGGATGTTTTGAAACACTGGGCAGTGAAGTCAGTGGTAGCAAACCTTCACACGTTTCGTCTTCGCCTGTAACACACCCTTCCCCAACCTTTTCCCACTACTTATTTTAACACCTCTTGTTTCCATAAAAGAAAAAGACAGTAAAATTAATGACTCAAAATTTCATTGTCACTTAAGAAGTGATTTAGATTGTTATTCAAATGCTTCACTACTAGTTCTATCTTTGACTTAGAACTGTGAGGTCTGGCCACCAGACAATAAATCTCGGTTGAGTAAAAATCTCCTTGCTTCAAGAATATTGAATGAATTAATGAAATAATCCTGGCAAAGTGTTTTGAGCCATATACATGTTCATACACCTATACACACGCACGCACACTGGCAGAAGAGTTTCATGTGTATTCATACTTTTCCATCATCGGATGAGAGGAATAGCAGACTCACCTGTACTTCCATGGCCTTGGTCCAGTATTTCTGAGGACTCTCGTGTGGGTGCGAGAGTCACTGGATTTCTGCACAGCCCTGGGAGCTTACGGGGTGGAAGCCGTGCGTGTGCCAGTGGGGTTGGCCGGCTCTGGAGATGACCGGGGTTTGAGTGTTTTCAGGCCCCGCTGAGCTTTATGTTGGGGGTGGTGTGACAGTCAGTCATCCCGGAGCACGTGAAGCTTTTCTGCGCCTTATCCTTTGTAAATCTGCAGTGTTTTCTTCCTTAAAGATTCACTGAACCCATTTCCAACTGGGTTGTTATGTGATTTCTTGGTTCTTTGATAAAATTTAAGTTTTTATCTTATTTCTATTATATCTTTAATGATTAGTTTTTGTGTTTGGTTATATTTATTGTAGAATTAGATTATGATAAGTTATTCATGAAATAAAGTAGTGGTTATATGTGTTCTTTTTATGCTTTTTTTTTCTTTTTAGTGATAGAAAACGGGCTAGAGAATTTATAGACTCTGATTTTTCAGAAAGGTGAGTATCAGTGTGAGTATTTTGTTTTGGACATGATACTGCGCAGAGAGGTTTAGTGTCCAGACTCTGCGTTGGTTTAAGTTAGTGAGATGTTTTTATTCCCATAACTTGGACTTTATTGAGTTTACTGGTTTTTCATACCACATTATTTATTTTATCTGTATGCTTTCAAGAGAAATTATCCTGTGATGATTAGCCATCAGTAATATGTCATTTAGCTTCCTTCCTCCTTTTGGGAGAAGAAGCTGTCTACCAAAGTGAATACTCCACTTTGACCTGCCCAAACTTTTTACAAACAAGTTTTACCGAACACATTTAAAGATCATAGTAAATTCTTACTTTCTTAAATAATACATCAAGTACAGTGTAACCATTCCTTAGACTGGTAGGACTGGTTCTCCATTCTCAGTGTGTATCAGGCTCACCTGTGGTCTGTTGAGAAACTATAAATGGCTACCTACCAAGCATGAAACTCCAGAATTGAAAATGGCCACTTTCTGGTCATTTGGGGTTTTTCCCCCCAAGATTTTATTTATTTATTTATTTTTAATTTTTTAGAGAGAGAGGGGAAAGAGGGAGAGAAACATCAATGTTTTGTTGCCTCTTGAGCACCCCCTACTGGGGATCTGGCCCACAACCCAGGCATGTGCCCTGCCTGGGAATTGAACCAGTGACGCTTTGGTTCTCAGGCTGGCACTCAGTGCAGTGAGCCACATCAGCCAGGGCACTTTCTGGTCATTATTGAACTTAAGTTCAGTATTCTGTGCAAGTCACTGTACTAGGTACAACATGAATGTTGCACTGTTAAAGTAAGATGCCTGTTCTTAGAGGCAGTTGAATTCTGTATGATTATTACAGTTTTAAATAAAACCTTGCCAGTTATGATTGTAAATTTTATTTTTGATGATAAGGTTTTGTAATTCATTTTTTCAGTGGCATTTCAGTGTCCTTTCTCCTGTTAGGCCATCTGCTCTCAATATAATAGTTTTCTGTCTTTTACGTTTTCTAGTCTGCTGTCTCCGACTTGCTGGGCACCGAGAAACTCCATGGCTCGTTGTGTTAGAATCCAGCCTCACATAAAAGCGAATGGGCTCTGAGTGAGCGCCTTGGGCTGTGCATTTTAAAAGTGTGGATCTTGTATTGGCACAGCTCCGCCTTAGTTTCTTGGTGACCTCTGCTGCTTGCTTCTTGGTTCTTAACTGTTTTGAACACACGGTCATTTCTGAGGAACTGCTGTTATCATATAGAAATATATGACAAAAGGTTCTTTTCTCTCTAATGGAAATTATACTTCCCATCTCATACCGGTCTTTGTGTTTATCCCAGGAAAGGGTAGGAGTGTAAGTTCTACGGATGCATTTAATGTGGGAGGCCTTAAAATAGAACTCTTCATTAGTTACAATTGTTGGCACCTGTGTACCGCAAACAGCATAAAACTAAGATTCTCTTTACTTTCTCCTTCATAAGAAAAAGGTCTCCAAAACTCACATTAAAAGTGCTATTTTAAATTTGTTCGTATAACCATTGATTCACATTTGTCTTTCTGCATCTGGTTCAGTGGCTTTTTTTTTGCTAATGGTTTTTATTATTCTCTTTTTGTTTTTTAGTATAACTTTTGTGTAATGAGTCCATCTCTCCAATCAAACCACAAAAATAACTACATGTGGTTTTTATTGTTGTTACAAATGTTTATTTTCCTCCAAACTTATCATATTTTCCTATAGTACTAAAGGGAAAAGGCTTCATTTCCCTCCCCTGAAGTGCTCAGGTTAAAAAAGCCAGCCCTCAACCACAGACTGGTCTTCATTTATTTTTTCAGCGTCTCATATGCAGATTTTAGTGTGATATGTAAATGTTTGTATGGGTTTTCCTCAGGGGTTCGTGCATCAACACGTGTAGTATGTACGGCTTTTTATCCCCCTCTGACACTGGACAGTAGAGCTTGAGGCGCGCTTTACCCAGCTGTGCCCTGGTGAAGGGCCTTTGCAAAAGCAAGTCGGTTTCTGAAGATCTCCTTTGGTGGGCGCAGTCCCCCGAGAGGGTCTCATCAGTTTTTCCCTGTAGTCCGAGCCCCTGGGCTTCTGTTCACAGACTTCACAGAGTTTGTGGCAGAAGGAGCTGTGAACACTCCCTTTCTGGTCTTGCACGGGCCTTTGACCCTGGAAGATGTTCGCTCACTTTCTCTTCTTACCTGTGAACAGAATCTGGTGGTGTCTTCTGGTGGCATCTTTTCCAAATAGGTCTGCTTTCGCTTTGGTGCTTAATATTTTTTTTCTGTTGGAATTCTGCTAAAATTTTATCTGTGATAAACTAATGTAAAGTTCAACTATAACCTAATAATCATCAAAATCTGTATAGTTAATATCTACTGCTTAATGACATCTATGAAGTTTGTTCATCCAACGCATATTTTGAAGATCTGTTCAGGGTTGCTGTGTTCTAGGCACTGGAGAGAATAATAAGTAAGAGAGAACATTCTGCCCTTAAAGAGTCGATACAGGGTGGACCCTAAACAAGACCGCTGTGGACTGGGATGGGTGGTGTGGGAAAATAAAAGGGAGTTTGGCGCTACTGGCAGCACGGGGGCTACCTCAGAGCAAGCCTCTCTAAGGAGGAAACATTTGAATGCAGAACAGTGGGGCCTGTAAATAGCCTGCCCGTGTGCGGGAGCCGGGGGTTCCATGCAGAGGGCGTGGCAAATGCAAAACTAAACGAGGAACCAGGTTGATGTGGCGGGGGAAGCACAGTGGCTTGGAGACGGTAAGAAAGGCAGCGTGTGCGAGCTGTGGGTGGAGAGGCAGGCAGCGGTTGGATCGTGAAGGGCCCTGTCGGTCACAGTAAGGAGTTGGGTGGTTATTTTTAGGGAGGGTTTTAACAAGAGAAATGACGCGATGAATTTACGCTGGCCACTGGAATGGACCCTAAGGAGGTAACAGAAGCAGGGAAGTCTGTTAGAAGGCTGTTATTGTAGTGGGGGCAGTGGCTGGTAGTGGAGATGGAAAAAAATGAATGAATTTTGGAGGTAGAACCAACAGGGTTTATTAACAGATTTAGTGGACGAAAGGCAGCAATAAAGGATGGGGTTGTTTGTTTGTTTTTTGCATGAATAGCTGGGTAAGTATTGATGCCATTTACATTTATTGTTGTTAGTGGTTTGGGGAGGGATTGAGTTTTGTTTTAGACATATGTTCAAGGAGTTTCTTAGTTATATAAATACTAATATATGCATAGATAAGTAGTGCACCAGCATGTAAATGGCCTTTAGCCCTGGTGACATGCCCAAGGCGGGGGAGAGTAAAGGTCCTTCAGGAACCAACGTGTGGTTTCTGTCTGGAGTCCTCCCGCCACCCTCTAGCCACACACGCAGTGGTGTGTGTTTACAGGAAAGTGAGGGCTTTTTCTAAATTACTTTATCAAATTACTAAATTGCCTTGCCGATTTAAACATTCCGGTCGGCTCCATTTTAATGAGAAATAAGATATTTATTATATATAATTTATTAAGACAGAATACATTTATTACAACTTATACCTGGGGTATACTGTTTTATACTACAAAGTTTAGTTTTATATTACTTTTGTAAATAAAAATAAATTATTATTAGGAAATATAAAAAGATAATTGTTGTGAATTCTAGTTAAGGGCCTGGAAAGAAATGCTTTTTCTTTTATTCTTTGGGCACAATTCTCTTGAATACTTAAAATTAAATTATTGTGAAAATGTAACATGCTTTTTAAACTGTACTTTATTGTTCATTTTATTTCTTGTTTTTTAATCTCTCAGTTGGTCTTATGTGGTAAAGAATGCTTCCTGCTGGTTTTTTGGTTTGATTTATGGTCCTAGTGTTTGCATCCTGCAGCCAAATTTGGTGTCGTTTAGAAAGCGGGTCTTGGGGTCTCAACGAGCTCAAGTTCTACAGAAGTGTCTGAGCTACCTGTTTGAGATTTAGATAGGAAGGCTTCAGTTAGGGATGATAAACTGAACACCGTGCTTATACCTCCACCCCTAAAATCCTGTTGACATTTTCATGTAGAAATAATAAAAGGAAACACATCTCAAAGTGCTGTAGAAAGTGGTAGAGATAATGGATTTGTCCAGTTGGAAGATGAAAACTAGAGTGATTATAATGAAAGACAGATGAAGTAGAGGCATCCACATCTCAGCATAGGCACAGAAGTCAGAATTGGAGATGGAGGCCGTTCTCCCACGCACCGACACGGAGGGGCTCAGGCTTAGAGTTGACAGGTATAAAAAGCAAGGATGAATTGGCGGAGGACGTAATGAGGGCGACGAAGAGAAAAAAAACCCACGGGGCACCGGGGCCCACTAAACCCGCCCAACCCTGCACGTCCCCTCGTACTTCCCATCTCGTCCCCACACAAAGAAATCAGACCAAAGGCAGTTCTTCAGGCGGAAGCTCGGACAGTCAGCTGCAGGGAAACCGGTCCCCTGCCTTGCTCGAATTTGCAGTGACTGGCCTCTTTCATTTAGCTTGATCTCAAGGTTCATCCGTGGGGTGGCATAAATTAGAACTTCATTCCTTTTTATTCCTGAATAATGTTTCACTTGTGGCCACATCACATTTTGTCTGTTTGGACATTTGGGTTGTTTCTACTTTTTGGCTGGTGCGAATGATGCTACTATAAACATTTGTGGACAAGTTTTTGTATGGATAAAGTTTGTATTTTCCTTGTATGGAATGGCATTGCTGGGTCATGTGGCGGCTCTTTGGCCCTTTGACTGACTGCCAGACTGTTTTCCAGAGCCGTGGTACCGATCCGCGTGCTCACCAGCAGATGGCTCCGGCCTCTCTGCATCTGCCGGCCCTTCTCTGCCTGTTACGTCAGCGTATTTCATCAGGGTTTGGATTTCCGATTCCCTAATGGCTGCTGATATTAAGCAATTTTTCATGTGCTTATTGGCCATTGTACGGCCTCTCTGACCAGTATCTGTTCAGGTCCATTGGGTTGTCATTTTATTATTGAGTTGTAAGAGTTTTG